GGGGGGGGGGGGGGGGGGGGGTACAAACCCCGACGATAGGGTGGAAAACATGCCTTTCGGCACAACTTCGTCGACGGGCGCTCGTTTTGTGCAATTTTTGATATTCTAGCCGGTCATGTAATTAATACCCTGAGTTTTTGTTGAAGACACACGAATTTGTAGGCCTACACGCCTGGCGAAGCAGCCAGCGGGGGGTTGGCAACTCCTCCCCGTATCACCGTGTGCACGGCAGTCGGTGAGGAGCTACAACACAGTAAAAACGAGCAAACCGGGCAAAGAAAAAGTACGCCCTCACATAAAATGATGCTCCCTATCAGCACCGTCCAGAGGGCCACCACTCGGCGCTTGTGTTGAGGCAAGACCTCGTCTGGTCTCCTGGACATGCAATCGTACACCGAAAGGCGAGGTCAACGCGGCATACGACCCTTCGCATTTGGGTACAAGACAACCGGCTGGGTGACTTAATGCAAGCGAGCTCGAATTCGGCCTCGGGTCTCGCGAGAAGGGATGAACTTGCGGATCGGCATGCCATGCGTGTTTGATACCATTGTTCAAAACATGAAAGCTCTGGCGTTCTTTTCAACGTGGGCGCTTCACTAAAACAAGGAGGATCAGGTTCGCGCCGGGCGCGGGAAAAGGGAAACTGGGCGTGCAAAACCACCGTCACACCAATGTATATCTCACCACATTGCCGGTGGCGTAGCCTTTGTAGGTGCCAAGATACGAAGAAGCAAATGTTCCCTTGCAGGTACAGCCTGCAGCAGCTAGCCCACTACACCAGTAAGCACCGTTCGCGGGTTTTTTGGACTATAGAGCTAATGTGAGAAACAACAACACCAACAACAACAACAAACTGTACACTCGACCTTACCAAAACGGATGGTCTTGCCGACAGCGTACGTGCTGCAATTGTAGATTCTGGACCATTTTCCTCATCACAACTAACCAATATGCTACAACGAACAACTGTCTGTAAACAACGGACTGTCTGTCTGGACCACCCCCCCCGGTCTCGAGTAAAACGCAGAAGATGATACGTGCCGCCTCCTACTCTGACCCGGACAGCATTTAACCCAGTCTTCTCTTTGGCGCACCGCCATTTGTATGTGAAAAAAACAACAATACATAGTCGACCTAGTGAGTCCCTCGCGGGCGAACCAGGTCACAACAGACAGTAGGCGGGTGGTGTCCCAAGGTGCAACTCACCACCGCGCTGGCTCAGCGTGGCGGTGAGGATGCACAGACGGTGGTAGTGGCGAGAGGTGTGTATGGACGCTGTTCCCGCGGCAGTAATGCAAAGCGGCAAACTGCACCTGGCAACCACCGTCGCGGAAAGTGTGGCCCACGAAGCTGGAGGAGTAGAGATNGCTGCGAAGAAGAAGGCACGAGAGGGCGACCTATCGTTCGGCACGTTCAACGTACGCACGCTCGCCTACAGCGGTAGGAACCCCATTCGTCACAACGTGATGACGGTTATGCAGATTTGTTCCGCGACCGGCTGAGATGTGATGGGACTTCAGGAGACCCGACGAGAGGGGCAAGGTTCAATTGCACACGACGGGTACGTGATCATCTGGAGTGGCGCCCGTGCTGGCACCAAGGACAAGAGGGGCGTACACGGTGTGGGCATAGCGATCAAGGAGGCCATGTGGGAGAGTGTGGGCGAGGAAGGTAGGACGGTGGAGTGCATTAGCCCGAGGCTGATGAAGGTGCGTCTACAAATTGGCCGCACCTGCGGAGTAACTTTCGTGGTGGGGTACGCCCCCACGGAAACTGTCCGCACCACCGCGGGCGGTGACGATAACGCCAAGGACTCCTTCTGGACTGCTCTCGACGCAGCGATCCGGGAGGTTCACAGCCGTGACCATCTCGTGGTGCTAATGGACGCCAACGCACGTACTGGTAGGAGGCGAGACGGGTGCTGCGATGCCAAGATTATGGGCGCGTACGGACGCGACATTATGAACAACAACGGGGAACGACTCCTTGGACTGGCATCAGACAACCAACTCTCCCTGACCAACACCTACTCCCGGACACCGAAAGGCGGAGTGCAGCAAACATTCCAGAGCTCCAACAAGGGGAAGGAGAAGTACTGCCTCGATTTCATCCTCATGCGTCAGACGGACCGGCGTTTCGTGCGTAATGTCTCCGTCAAACGTGTCGACTTCAAAGACTCTGACCACAACCTCGTGCTTACGACTGTCCGCCTCCCCCCCCGTGTCGCACCCAACCGACGAGTGCGGGGGAACAGCGGAAGCAGCCGGATCCGTATCGACCTCGGGCGGTTGAGGAAGGACAAACACCTACGGGACGCCTTCCAAAACAGGGCCTCTAGCCGCCCTCCGCCCACGGCGCTCAGGCGGCCAACGGGAGAGACCGCCGCCGAGCTGACGGCTACGGTGATGTCGGCCGCTGCTGAGACCGCGCCGCTGGCGAGGTGCGGTCGAGGGCAGAGAGGCTGGTACACGAGCGAAGCGCAGCAAGAGATTTCCGAAGCGTCGAAGGAGATTAAGGCGGCCCAGCAGCAACTGCGTGGGGCCTCACAGAACAGCGCCTTCGAGGCGACCCTGAAGGCGATGCTCAAGGCGGCGCGGAAGAAGCGCAGCATCGCGAGGTGGAGAGCACTGGAAATGTTCTTCGAGGGCAATGTACGGCAGCTCGAGAAGCAGAGC